GCTGAACCTACCTCACGGGGCGGTTGTGAGGATAAAACGAAGGATGATGTAAGCCACTTTGGGTCCCCACTGGGGAAACAAGCAGGATATCAACATAGTGAACAAATCGAATATATATAACTGAACATCATTCACAGGAGGAAAAATGAGCCGCAGGGGAAAACAGTGGGCTGAAACTCACCGCTTCCAAGGAAGAGTAGTGTAGCGTGCACCAGCATGGGCATATGTCATAATCAGGGCTATTTTGGAGCAGGAACGCACAGGAACGGAGTTCCGGCTGGCTCCCCAGTTGGCCACGCCCAGCAGGAACTCATTAGCATAACAGGCCACGCCCAACAGCAGAAACTCATTCGGATTGGCTACATTAGGGGTGTGTGGCCTAACATGCAAAGGAGTTCCTGCTACAAAAAAGGCCCTGGGTTCTGACAACAAACAAGGTAAACAGAATAAGAAGCAAAAGGTGGGTGTGGCTGGATGACCACACTTCTGGTAACATGGGGGTGTGGCCTAATATGCCAATGAGTTTCAGCTGTTAGGTGTGGCCTATTATGCTAATGAGTTCCTGCTGGGCTTTTTCTACGAAAAAAGGCCTGGTCATAATGATCACACAAGGAGTATCCCTGCCTCATAGAAGCCTGCCTGCTGCATGTGTGCATGATGACGGGCATTTTCACTACTTCTAGAATGAGACTCGGTGTCAAGCTGCATTCTGGGCTGAGCTCGGTGTGCCCGGAAGCCTTGAGCAAAAAAACATTTGGAACCGAGTGGAAACCCATCTGCAAAGTGATGAGATGATGCTGGCCCGAAATCCCACCGTTCAAATAAACCGTATCAAACTAAAAATGGGAGGAAAGGTATCAGGAAAGCGGTCACATGACAGGCACTGCACACGGGTCGCCCATTTTTCTGCTTCCCTTTGTCAATTTAACACACAAAGAAATAACTCTTCAGACACTACTGAAACGCCTAGTTACTTCTTACCTTTTTTCCTTTGAAGCTGAGGACAACAGGCTGCCACAGCTCCCCATAACACTAGCGTATAGTGCCGATCTTTCACCTGCTCCACTGCTAGAATAATTTTTGTTTGTTTCTCTCCTCTGTAACTGTATGTAGACTCTAAAAAAAAACGGGGACAAGCATCACTTATAACTGTACCAGATTCAGAAGCAGTAGAAGTGAATAGTCGCTCAGTGTTCTCTGACAGTTTCTTTCTAAACACGCTGGGGGGGAAAATCCTCTTAAACATCTTGCATTGCTATGCTGGTTTGAGCTATGCTTTCAAGGGCGTGCAGAAGGGTTTCTATATTTTACTCCCCCCTCCCCCACAGCGGGCTACCACACAGCTCCAAGAGTGGTTGGCTGCGTGGCATGTGGACACACATGAACACATGAAGTTGCCTCATTCTGAATCAGAACCTGGGTCCATCGGACTGGTACGGACTCCCCATGGTCTCGGACAGAAGCCTTTCACATCACCTACTTGCTTGGCCCTTTTTAACTGGTGAGGCCAGGGACTGAACCGGAGACCTTCTGCATGCCAAGCTGATGATCTACTACTGAGCCAGGGCCCCTCCCTTAAATTAAAAGTGTTATTGTTTGAGAAACCAAATACCACAGCCTCCTTTGGCACAAGGGACAATGTGTGGTACAGTGTATCCTCCTGGCCAGAGAACTGTGTGTTATAAACAGGCCAAAGGGGCAGAATTATGTTTTACTAACATATGTCAATACAGCACACAATTTTGCATTTGCAGTACGACATGATCAGATTTTAAAATCAGTATTTAGTTATCATCGGTCTTCAGTCTGTTTAAAACAAAACACCTTGGGCTTCGAATGTCAGACACAATCATCCACTGTGTGACTCTCACCACTAGATAAGGGGATAAGAAAGCCAGCAAAAAAGAAGAAACCATTCTGGGAGCAGTAAAAGGGGAACAGGCAAAGGAAATCTGTTATAACACATGCTCACTAACGGTAAAAACCTAACTGGAGTCACACCCTTCTAAGCCCCCTTGACTTCAACAGATGTAACTCTGCTTAGGATTGTGCTGGGAAAGAGCCACCTTATGTCAGTAATTCCGGTCAAGCATTAATTACAGTAAGAGCTTTCCCAGCTTTGTGTCAATTATTAAGGCAGAGGGTTCCAATTCTCTGCTCACATTCTGTGTCTAACCATGTAAGCTGTCTTACTGTTACCACCA